CATGCAGGGGAATAAACGTGAGGGACAAAAATAAATGTTAGTAGAGAATATATTGCCTCACTGAAGATTTCATACATTACAAAAATCAGGGCAGGGAAAAAAATCAGAATAAGCTGTTTCAGTTAGAAACTAATATATGAAAAATGCATTTGTATCTGGATTGTTTAAATTCGAATTATTTGAGGACTATTGTAACTCAAATGACAATGAAGATCTGGTTGTTGCTTTATTTTACATGTAATTTATGAAAGTCACACTATGCTAAGGTTTTAAAGTGGTATCATTTCTTAGAGGAAATAAAACATTGAAAACTGAGACCAGTCTATTTGTTAGAAATACAGCACTTTATAAGGCAATCCTAAGAAGACAATCACACAGTTATTGAAAAGAAATACAGACAAAGATAGTTAAGTCAGTGTTACTTAGGATTACAAAATTATCTGCCTAGGTAAGTAAGTCATGCCCAATCAGTACCATGTAACACTATGCAGCCATTAAAAACAGCGATATAGGGGTATATTTATAGATTTAAAGAAATGACCAAGCACAAGGAATAGGAAAAGCATACTCTTTTCAATATCTACCTTTTAAGATACCAAGTGATTTAAAAAAAAAAAATACAATTGTCATCTTCAGGGTATGAACTAAAGAAAAGGCCAGAAAATGGTTCTGTGCATAGCTTCTGAACACAGAATATTCCCCAGTAACTCTCTGCGTATATATAGGACAGGGAATTTACTGGCTCTCATTCACGGCTAAAGATAATGACTGTGTCCAACAGCTTTGTAGTACACATCTTATGGCTCTGACCTGGCTGTCCTCTATAGCTTAACATAATTGACATGATAGAAAAATCGAACACAGATCCTCAACTGTGACTTCTTTATTAAAACCAAGAATGCTTCAATAGCCAGCTATTATAAAATGTAGTAATACAGTAAGCAAATGTGCCAGTTAAACAAGTGCCATATGCATACATTAACAAATTTCAAAGAACTAAAAACCATTAAATATATGAAAGCTAAAATAATACTGAAAATTATTTTTCTCACTTTGATTAAGCATAAAAAAGAACTTGGGATCTTAGAGTACAATTAGCAAATTCAGTTGCAAGTAATTAGCCATGAAATTATTTGTTCTGCAAATTTTATTCACAACAGATCTGCTTCTCCTGAAGCAAGCCATACCCATGCTGTCCACAAGCCATTTTGTATCTCCAGGTTTCTTACCCACCACATTCATTCTGTTTCATAAAAGCCATGTGGACTTATGATATTTCAGTCTTGGTGGTATAAACCAGAATCATATCAATTGACAGTTACTTTCTCCAGAGTTTCAGAGAGCTTTACTAAATAAATAATTTTTGTATGAAATATTCACCTTCATCTTTTAATTGGTCAGCTTTTCCCACATCTTCAGGCACTGAGTTTGAGAGGGGCAGAACATCATTCTGAAATTAAATAAAAATCAATGTACTTCCCTTTAGCTACATAAAGAGTGATCCTAGAGTATTATAAAGGAATAATAAATTACCCACATTTTAAATCATCTGTAATTCCATGTCATGAAATCTAACATATAAATAACAGAGTTAACAAGAAATAGGAGAAAAGTCCTCTTACATACTTACATTAGAAATATGAATATGTGAAATTTTTCTAGAGTATACTAGGCAGCTATGAATCAATTTTTTTAAATTGCTTTCCCCATACTCAGCAACCCCACTTTGTAAACAAAAAATGGAATCAGTATATAAAGAATATGAATAGAAATATGATCAAGGGATCGTATATAATAGTGAAAATTTGGAAACAAAATTTGGTAACAAAATGTTACTATCCTATCTAAGAGATACCCTAACTCAAAAATGACAGTTTACTAAAAAAGCATTTATAATATGATCATATTATTTCAGTATGTTCATACAAACATACACACACAGATTAAATAACAAAGACTGGAAAGATGTATACCAGAAGTAAAATTTTCATTCTCTTCTTTCTATCTTCCCATATTGTCCAAATTTTTTAAAACAATGAGCATATGTTAATTTCATTATAAGATTAAAAAACACTATAAAAACTAAAATTCCTGTTTTTAGTACCTACTATCATCCTCAAACCTCTTTTGCATTAATAAGGTTCAAACCAAAGGTGCTTATGAAAACTGCATTGAAAATTCAGAAATATCTTGAGTGGCACTGGGAACAGAATACATTTTTTTCATTTTTGAAAGACCTTTTTAAAATTGCATTGCCTTTAAATTTGACTCTGAAGTTCATAAATAAGTCTATTATTTTCAAAAAAGCATAATTTGTACGTATTGTGCCTATGTACTATATTTAAAATAATCCACCATTGCCTTTTTTTTTCTTTTAGAGACAAGGTCTTGCTCTGTCACCCAGGCTGAAGTGCAACAGCACAATCATAGCTCACTGAAGCCTTGAACTCCTGGGCTAAAGCGATCCTCCTGCCTCAGCCTCTTGAATAGCTGGGACTACAGGTGTGTGCCACCACACCTGGCTAATTTATTATTATTATCATTATTATTATTTTGTAGAGATG